CAGTGTGGTAGTCCAAAGTCTAAAGGCCAGTGATGCTGACTGTTTGAGGATGTGTGGTGAACTTAAACTGTACCCTTGCGTCTTCTCCTCACCTGAAACAAAACTAAATCCATTGTTTGCAGCTGGCCCTTTGAAGTGGATTCAGCAGGAGTTTCTTTCTTAGCACAGAAAGAATTGGGTTGGCAAATCAAAGGGATAGGGTTGCACCAGCTGCAGATGCATCAGTTGTTCCCTTAGTGTTTTACCTGTATGATTTTCCCCTAGGTGCCTGGAGTTGCAGCCCGGAAACCTCACTGCACTCATGGCTTTAGCTGTCAGTTTTACCAATGAATCGCTGCAGAAGCAGGCATGTGAAACCTTGCGCGACTGGTTGCACCACAAACCGGCCTACGCTCATCTGATGGGAAAAGAACCAGAAGGGGAAAATTCTAGCCCAGGTCTGGGGCCCTCCAAACGTATTCTGGGTTCCCTCCTAACTGAGTGAGTCTGCAGAATGAGCAATAAATGGGAACTGGGCAAATGAAGCAAGATGGGACTGGCGGTTGCCCTTCCTACCACATTGGTCTCTTCGCTCTTCCCTTCCTCAGCTCACTTTTTCACGAGGTGAAGGAATTGTTCTTGGCAGCTGTCCGTAGCAACCCCGATGTGGTGGACCCTGATGTGCAGTGTGGTCTGGGTGTTCTCTTCAACCTGAGTGGCGAGTATGAGAAAGCTGTGGATTGCTTCACTGCTGCCCTGAGCTCACGGCCAAATGTAAGGAAGGCACGGCGGGGGGAGAGGAAAAGGGGTAGTAGGAGAAGGTGGCATTGTTTTCTCGCTTGAGGCTGCTTCTGACTGCAGGAGTCGGTTCTTAAGACTCTTCCATACCAAAAGTGATATGGAAATCGATGGGAAAATACCAAAAGTGGTATTTTCCCATCAATTTCGAAGTGCAGGTCACTTGATGCGACAACCGGCTCAGTAAAAACTAAGAGAAGCATTTAGGAATGCTATCAAAAGCTAGAGCACTTCTGTCATTCTCAAGCAGCCTTCACCACAATCTTGCAAAGGAGGTGAATCTGTTTCCTTTGGCCATGACTGATGGGTGTGAGAGAGAAATATCTGCCCCCACCCCCAAAAAGGCTATGGCAGAGCCAAGAGCTGTTTTTTTTTTTTAGATGTTATCTCAACCCCTTAGCTAACCTACTTCCCCTGCAATCTTTATCCGTTGAAAGGAAAAGAGATAAATGTAGAATGACTAAGACACTTAATCGCTGTCAGTCCAATCTACTTCACAGGATTCTTATTGAAGGGGAATATGGGAGGGAGGACTATAGAAAAGCACAGTGATATAAAGATCAAGACTAAGCAAATAGTCTTGAAAGTTTGAGAAGAATGGGAAGGGGAGGGGAGGGGAGGAAAAACAAAAGTTGTTCTACCAAGTCTGACTGAACCTGGTTCCTTCTTCTAGGATCATCTCCTTTGGAACAAGTTGGGAGCTACCTTAGCCAACGGGAACCGGAGTGAGGAAGCTGTAGCTGCTTACCGGCAGGCACTGGAACTGCAGCCTGGCTATATACGTTCTCGCTACAACCTAGGCATTAGTTGTATCAACTTAGGGGCCCATAGGTGAGTTGGGTAGCTTTAAAGCTGAGGTTGATTCTACTGCTGCTTTTGATTAGATGACGCCACCATAGACTTGAGCTATAATGTGAGTGTTGGATCAGGCAACTCTGAAAGTATTTCCCAGAGAAATTGGCATCCCAGTTGACTCATAGTGCCTTCACTCATTTCACCTCCTCTTTCAAAAAGTCATATTCACTGGCTTTTGGTGTGTCTCATCTACTGTGGTGCTTAAAAGTTTGTGAACCTTTTCAATATTTCTGGATAAATATGACCTAAAACGTGATCTGTTTTCCATACAAGTTCTAAAAGTAGATCAAGAGAACCCAATTAAGCAAATGAATCAAAAACATTATATGTGTTCATTTATTTATTAAGGATAGTGGTTAAGGTGCTGGCCTTATGAACTCTGCGCCTGCTGTAGGCCTGAAAGCTGACTGGATGATTTTGGGCCAGTCACACACACTCGGTTCAGCTTACCTCACAGGGTGGTTGTTGGGTAAATAGGAGCATTCGATATGTTCACTGCTTTGAGTTACCTTTAAAATAACAAAGGTGGTGGTAAAAATCAAATAGAAAATGATCCTGAGTTAAGTATTTGTGTTGGCAAAATCAACAAAGAACGACTAAGGTGTATGGGAAAAGAAAGCCTTAGAACTGCTCCCTCTTTCTCCCCGTGGCTAATCTTTGTGGGGCAAATCTTGATTGTGAGCTATTCTTGATCCCCTTTAACTCCCTTCGTTACCATATGCTGCTGTCTTGACAGAGAGGCTATAGAACACTTCTTGGAAGCCTTGCAGATGCAGCAGAAGAGTCGCGGGCCACGGGGCCAACAGGGAGCCATGTCTGACAACATCTGGAGCACCCTCCGTATGGCCCTCTCCATGCTGGGCCACAGCAACCTCTATGAAGCAGCAGATGCCCATGACCTTCCTACCCTCCTACAGGCTTTTGCTATTCAGCAGTGACTCATTGATGGGCTCCCTTGTGAATGCAGGAGGAGCCCTCCCCCATACCAGTCCCTTCTTTCTCTTCCCACCCAGACAAACATGGCTGAGTCAGGGACACTTCTCTTTTAATTCTCAAGCTGTCCCTGAAAACAACATATACACCTATTTTCTGTCTCCTTTTTAGGGCAGGTCACTGGTTTACATGTTGTGCTGGATCATATTTCTGTCAAATTAAGCTTCCTTAACCTATGCAAATCCAGCAAGGAATGGTACCTACTGTGTGCCTGTCCCAGCCTGCAAAATTTAGTTTAGGAAAAAAAAAAAAAAGCCCTTTGAGCAGAAAAGTATTTAGATTTCCCTGCAGTGGTGTCTTCTAGGCACAGATTTAAAAGTAGTGGGCTTTTTTCTTATAGGTCAGTCTCTGTGATACAAGGAAAGGATTTGTGGCCCTTGATGGACATTAGTTTTGCCTGCTAAATCTCTCACAGAATATTTATGCAGAGTATTTATGTTCTTTGCACATCCGGTTAAGATGGTTTCGTTGAAAAGCCCTTTTGCAAAAGGATGAATCAAAATATAAATTTTGGACTCTGGACTTGAAAAGTGCTGCTAATGTTAAAAGGACAACAGAAAGGGAATGAGCACTGCTTATGAAGTAGCAACCTAGCTGATGTCACCACCACAGAGATGGGAAAGGAGCAGCCGTGTATTTATTAAAGTAAGAATGTATCTGGGAAACGGCAGACTTGGCAGTTATCAGAAACACGAAGTGTGGGCCAAGAACTTTCCCTTAATTACCCCTCTGCCATTTTGGTTCCTTATAAATAAAGTGGGTGGGCTATTTCTCTTCATCAGGCTTTTCCCTTTGGTGTAATTGGCTCTTTATAAATATATGTATATGATTTTTGTTGGGAAAATGTTTTTAAATTGTAAAGTATTTTGTATAATAGAAAGTGAAAAAATAAAACCTGCCAAATTACGCTGTCAGGTTTTCATTTTGTCCATTGTTTGCCAGGAAACATCAGGGACCATCATCCGACCACTATCACTGTTAACTTGCATATATTTGAAAAATCTCCCTTTCTACTACAATTCACGCTTTTTGCACAACTTACAGCTAGGTTTCTGAGGTGTTTCACTCATTTCTGACATAATTGGCTTCCTCAGTCATTCTTAGGTTTAGGTGAACTTTACTAATACCGTTTCCCCAAAAATAAGACCTCCCTGGATAATAAGCCCAATCAGGTTTTTGAGCATATGCGCCCTCCCTGAAATTAGCCCTCCCCCGAAAATAAGCCCTCCCTGAAAATATTTAACTGCATACACAGCCAGTCCCTGCCATTGCCTCTGGTTAGGGTTAGGCAGACAGAGCTGGAAATCAGGTAAAATGGCAAGAGGAGCCCTGTCTTGCTCCACGTGCCCCAAAATAATAAGACCACCTCGGAAATAAGGTCAAACGCTTATTTCGTGGTTCAAAAAAATATAAGACACGGTCTTATTTTCGGGGAAACACGGTATTTACAGGTGGTGAAAGCTGTGAGTTACTAAAATTACAGGCCCAAGGCCATTTAGGGGAGATTGGAAAGTATTCATTTGGAATGCCTTATAAAACCAGTTCTTTCAGAGCTTTTATCATGCATTTTATTGTATTGAGATCTCCTTTAAAAAGGGAATAAAGCTCAAGAAATGGCTATTAAAGAAATAATTCTAGAGGATTTTTCCAGACCCCAAAATGAAAAAGGCCACTAGGTTATCTTTCATTTTGGCCTTCTTTTCCTTTGATTTATGATTTTGCATGATGAATAAACTCAGCCAGTATCTAAAATATATTATTCAGTTTCCTATCTATTTTTATTGACTCTGGGCAAGGACCAGCATGAGGAGGAAGCTGAATGCTTCCTTTGCTTTCCCACCAACATTTTAATACTAGAATAGATACAGAGCTGAACGATGCTGATTTTCTTATTACACAGTTCAGAGATTGCACATTGACTCCTCCAGATATTAACAATTACCAAATAAGGAGGTCTTATTTCAAACTCGAACATTATTAGTGAAGCTGCTTTTTCTAAACATCCTTAATTTCGAGGGTTTCCCCCCAGGAGTGGGTTCTACTTACCTTTACTACTGGTTCGCAATGGGGCCGCGCTCGCTCGCTCACTTTGCATGTGCGCTCTTCTGCGCATGAGCTCTGATGACGTTGGGGTCAGTAGGCGGAGCCTCCTGCCGGTTTTACTATCGGTTCTATAGAACCGGTGTGAACTGGGGGCTACCCACCACTGTTTCTCCCCCTCCCCCATTAAATGGTTTATGTTTAATATTAGCTGCAGTTTCCTGTTTTGTTTCTAGGGTGAGTTTTAGCCATGTTTCTAACTGGTAATTCTGAATGATTTAATTTTAAAGAATTTTTAGGCAAGAGCAAGTACAAAAAAAAGAGTCTTAAAAGGCTGGGAGAGGTCCTCTTTTATTTAGCTCTCCAAAAGGCACACATTATCAGCTTATTTTACATCTGCAAAATACAGGAGGCAACCGTACTCTTTGATTTGAGGACATGCACAGCCATATGGTATAAACATTACAAGCAATACAAATGTTAACTGTAATATACAAGAATAGACTTGGCATCCCTTTAAACAACCAGTAGTGAAACTTGGTGGTGTATTACAAAACAGACAAACCTAGTGGTGTAAGGTCAAGTGCTGGTTGCAGAAACCTACAGCTGCTTATGATACTGATCTTTTTTTATTTTAAACAAAGCTCGTTTTATATGGCCCAGAGAAAAGAGTCAAGGGAATGATCGAGCCATTGTGTAGAAATAAAGCTGGTGTAGTTAAGGCTGCCTATTTTGACATCTCTCCAGTGCTGTGTGTGCTGTGTGCTGCACATCTACTGCTTTCCCTCGTGTGTGTGTGTGTGTGTGTGTGTGTGTCTGCCTGTCTGTCTGTCTGTGTGCAGTTGCAAGATGTTGGTAGATTTACAACCTATAGTGATGCCCAGAAGTTGAGTTTATTATTATTATTCAGTCCTCATACTACCTTTGAAAATTAGAACAGTTATTGGACTTTGGCTGCATATAAAATCTTGATTATTTCTTAAATTTCTTTTCACATTAGAGTACTTTGAAAAATCCAATTTAACTTCCATTGTCCGTGCGCAATGCTTCCAAAGCAGCCCTTTTTAGTTTTGTTTTAGACAACAAATGACGTGAGATACAGTAATGAGCGGAGAGAGAAATCACTCCTTTTCTTACATTAGAGCTCAGGATGACACCAAAGAAAGGGATGGGAATGCATTCATGGCAAAGCCATACAGGTTTTAACATGAAATTAGAATACATGTTAAAATGTATGGAGATATTTGAAGATATGATGGCCACGTGTACAGATGACTTTAAAAGGGGAGCAGACAGATACATAAAGACATTTTTAACAGCCATTTCATGTGATTATCCTAGAAAATGCGAACCAGACAGCATATGCCAGGGAGAAGCAACAATAGAATATTGTTTTCATACTTAGCTTTTAGAAGCATTTGTGGGATAGCTCTGAGGAACAGGATTATGGCTTAGATAAATCTTTGATATGATCAAAGGGAAACTATTCAATTTCTTAAGAACTAAGGAAACTATTTTTCGTTTTTATATACGTTGTTAAAAGCAGCTTAATTGACTAAACATATTTTTAATCCCTTTTAAAATGTCATGTCTAGCTAGACCTTAGTAACTAATTCACTAATATCACTAGTGTTGTTATGAAGGTACAGCAAAGTGGCATGCAGACAGAAATTATTGCTCAAGGTATTTGCACCAACTGCAAGTGGGGGAAGCAAACAAATCATTTTGTATGATGGCATTTGCTAGATATGAAACTCAGTTCCTGTCCAACAACCACTATCAGCAGTGTGACTCAGTAGAAACAGATTAAGATATCAATGAATGTTAAATAGGTTAGTCAAGTTTGGAACATTCATAACTACTTTGATGGAGGTGACCTCCCCCAGCTTCTTCACAAAGAAATCCACCCATTTCAGGAAGAAAACCTGCGTTTGGCCCATTTTTCTCCCCAGTGGCAAATGTATGACCACCACTCACAAGAAAGAAACTATGGCTTGTTGCAAATTGCTTTTACCGCCCTTACGCCTTGCAAGATTATTTTTAAATATCTACAAGGTAATTAAGATATTCAGGAGGTATATGGAACACTGCTAACATATATAGCTCACTAGTGCCATTTGGGGTATGGTCTATTTTTCTCAGTGGCTTTCCTAATGGAAACCTCCAAGCTCTCCAAACTGTCATACCGTACTTAAGAGCCCTGGAATAGAACTGGGGAGACTCTTAAGATCAAATGTCCTGTCATCAGCCTCACAGAGTACTATCCCCCCCACCCCCCGTTAGGTTTTCTTGTAGGACGACAGCGAGGGTAGAATTGAAGATGAAATACTATGAATACCTTCTTGAGCTCCTGAATAAAAACTGAAACATATAATACATCGAACAAGCAGATATGTGTACTTATATGTACCCTGTTTCCCCCAAAATAAGACATCCCCTGATAATAAGCCCAATTGGGCTTTTGAGCGCATGGCAATAAGGCCAAGCACTTATTTCAGGGTTCAAAAAAATATAAGACAGGGTCTTATTTTCAGGGAAACATTGTATATATCAGGAGTGGTATTCACTTACCTTTGCTACCAGTTTGCAAATGGCAGCACTCATGCTTGCTTCATTCGCACGCACTACCTCTGTGCATGCGCAGGACTTTCTGCGCATGTGCATAGTGTCAAGAACAAGACGTGATGACATCCGGGTGGATGGGTGGAGCCACCCGCAGCCACCGCTACCGGATAGAACCAGCTGAATAGCACCACTGGTATATATGTATATGTGTGAGTCTAACATCTGATGAAGAAAAGAGGATACTCAATCCACCTTATGACCAAGCATAAAAACAGTTGGTTGAAGAACCCAAATGATACCAATCTGCTTTCATTCATTCAACTTTAAAGTCACAAGAATATTTTAAGATTTTAAAGCCACATGAAATGGCTTTTCTGTCTTCAGCCTTAGGATTCCTGTTGTTTATTTTGAACCAAACCAGGGCAACCTTTACTTGCTGTGTGGAATTACAGCACAGGAAGCTTTCAAATGCATGCTGGAGAGGTGGCTGTTGACTAATGTGAAAGGCTTCCAGGACTAGTTCAGGACTAGCACAGGGAAGCCATTCTGCCCTAAATAAACCATTCAATCTGAATGTAGATTTATTTGTCTGGGGAAAAAAACAGCATCAGTAAACTTAGAAATAAAAACCCCCTGAGGTTTCTAGCAGACAAAAAGTTGGTTTTTCAGACCCTTTCAGTTCAAAATAATCTTGATAATAAAATCCTTAATGCTCTGGTAAAAGATACATTAAATTCTTGTTATGTATTAAGCTATTAGGGACAGACAGGCTTAATTTTATGACTTTCTATAGCCTCAATATGAGGTGTAAGGTCTGCATCATCTAGGCTTATATTTACAAGCATTCTGAAAATTTCAAGGGAAAAGAGCATAACCATGTGTTTATATCTCACATCAATTATTTAATGTTTTCAGAATGCACTGAAACTTGAAATAATCCAGGGGCATTTTAACTACCATATACATAACACTGAAGGCCATTTTGTATTCGTTTTTTTTGTTAGACTCCCAAATCATAACCTAAATTTTCTTTTTCCTCAAAATCTGCCGCTTCAGGATTAAATTAGATTTGATGAAGAAATCCAGTTGACAGGATTTGAAGACTTTTAAGAACAGCTTTTGGTATGCGGGATGATAAGATTTGGGGAGTTAATCAGGTCCATGATAAGTTTCTTCTATTCACCAGCATTCTTAGGAGATCCACTACAAATTTCTTATTGTCATTGAAGCAATCACAGAAAAATATATATACCTTTTACATCCAAGGTAATATCTTTGTCCAAAGATATTAAAACATTAGTTCCTGATGGACCTTCTGTCTCTCATAACTATGTAAGTTAACTAGTGACTTAAATCCAAATGTATACTTATTTGTTTCTTGTTATTCCCAACCAGAAGCCATGGTATTAATGACATGGTATTAAAATTATATAATAATAGTCCTGGATAAAGTAATAAAACTTTGGATATAGTTATATGTTTTCTTTCTACATATGGACAGGTCTTCTACTTATGTGTGGAAGGTCCAAACAATGATAATAGGTCAAGGTTGTTTGCTGTTTAAGGATTGGGTTTTCTTGTTATGTATACTGTAAATTTGCTCTAATATGCCTTCCTGATTTGCATGTGTGTGTTTTTTTCCTATTTCTTTAATTTTTGCATCTGATTAATGTTTTTCTTCTTTCTGTGCATGTGTATACACACACAAACATGGGACATCTAAGCAGCTGCTGAGCAAGCACAGAGATTTGTTTGGAGTACCAGAACTGAGTGAGAGCTCATCTGTAGGCTATGCAAAAATCCTTTCATGGGTTGTCCAAGTGGTTTCACTTTAGCTCTCATTTTTTGGAAAGGGGCAGTCATTCTCTGGTAAATCTTGTTCAATGAATGGAAGCCATAAATCCCTGCCAATCTACTACAAATCTACCACCACCATTCAGTAGATCCTAAATTACCTTCCATTCACCCCTGAATAAATGGATAGTTAATTCCAAAGCACTAGAGTATACTCCATAAAGAGGCATTAAAAATAGAGAAGTATCTACATTTCCCCTCGAACAATTGATTCTCTTTAGCAACTGCTTGCAATCTATGATAAGCAGGCTAATAAGGCTGCATATTGCATTGACTTGATTCATTGGGGTTAATTAAATATAGTACAATTGGGCAGAGTTTACATATCATACTAAGCTAGAATACAATTGGCTTGGGCTTGGCATAGACATACCACACCTGACTTCAACCATCCAGATGCTCCCAGAAGAAGTTAGTTCCCTGAATTGGATGCCAGCTACCAGCAGTCCTTGTACCTGCAGCCCAAATTTTGGTGCATGCCTACTTTAGCATAGTGCACTAACCCAGCCACTGTGCAATATGCTCTCACAATTCAAATGGAGCTTTCCATTGCATTTGTCAATGGACATAGAACATTGCTTTATTTATATTTATATTTCCTGTGTGTGGAAAAATGTGAAGTGATTAATCTGTAGATCTTTTGGAAAAAGAGGGGTCCCTCTTATGCTATGCAAATACAGGTCCAGCAGAAGATTCAATCAGAATTCATTACAATCAGACTTAATATTACTCTTGGCTTCTTTCTCAGTTCTTTCTGTATGAATAGGAGCTTATGGAACTCAGCTTGGCAACTTCTGTATGTAAAACACATTTTAAAATGTAGGAATTGTAGACATTAGAATGACCAATCTGACATTAATTCCACATGTGGCAAAACATAACATTTAACTATACCTGCCATTTATTTGCCCATTAAAAACATTTCTAAAGTCACAGAAGAAGATTAAACTATCTGCATTTTTTTTCTATTGAAGTATGATTCAATTGATACATTTTGAAAACATGACTACATTATATTTAACTAGCTTACTTTGTTAATAGCTTTTCATAATCGAATCTGGTTCTATAGCCAGATTCATAACAGAATCTGGTTAGCTCAACTATTATCCTCGTGCTGCTGTGTGCTATGCTCTTATTTCCTAAACTTTTCGTTTGTTTGTTTTTCTAATTTGTGGGACACCCAACTTCTTAGATCTGCTCTTCTCCATTTGAAGCTCTTGATGCACTAAAGCAGGAGTTTCCAACCTTGGCAACTTTAAACCTGGTGGACTTCAACTCCCAGAATTCCCCAGCCAGCTTTGAAGTCCGCCAGGCTTAAAGTTGCCAAGGTTGGAGACCCCTGCACTAAAGGCCTGCTAGGGTAGAAATACCACCCAAGGCTGACAAGAAATAAAGGACACATTTTCACTCTCTGTATTTTCTCTACGACAGTGTTTCTCAATCTTGGCAACTTTAAGATATGTGAACTTCAATTAGCTGGGGAATTCTAGGAGTTGAATCTGAACATCTTAAAATTGCCAAGGTTGAGAAACACTGCCTTAGGAATATGGTTTCTCTTCCCTATTTCTGCCTTCAAGGTGAATTAAATCTGGACCCTCTATGTCCATTTCCAGGACAGCAGCACTGGATAACAGGGTGATGTCTCTGAAGACCACAGAATTCTATTTTTCAGATACGAAGCATCTGCTCTGGCTTCATGTGTAAAAATATCACTATTTATAATGTTAAATATTTCACAAGTTCAAGCCACTGGCTGAACATTATTTAGCATGCTTCCATGAGTACTGGAGAATATTTTCTAAAGCAAACTGTGTGACTTGTTTTATGTAAAGCAGCAAGTTTCATCTTGTTGTAAAGTTGCTAAGCAGTTTTACATATAAAGGGGAATTAATATACACAAGGAAGAAAAGGGATAATGTCCATTGATGTAAAAGCAGAGCATATTAATGGAACCTTCGACACACTCACAACCAGTAGGTTGCTGATTTGGACAGTGGTGGAAAGGAGAATAAGAAATTCTACAGGACAGCTGGGAAAGATACATTCTTGCCCCTCCAAAGTTTTCTTTCTTGTATCTTCCACAACCATGGGTGGTTGCACTAAAAGGACAGCTAAAGACATGCTAAGGAACTGTTTCTCTCAGCTTTCCTTTGAAAGTGGATATAACCTGCTGAGACTAACAGTAAGAGGAATTAGAGATGTATTCAATTCTTCTCTCCATCCAGGAGAAAATTGCTCAATAATTGGTTCCTTTTCTTTTGATTATGAATGGATGGCATTCTCTTTGATGGAGTCACTGCCTACAAAATCCCTCAGGTATGCAGCTGACAAAGAAGGTGGCCCTTCTACATGTTCTCCTTGCTTGGTTTCTCCCACTACTGATTCTTTTATGCTGGATTCTTGATTTGAGGGTATCTGGAATTTGGGCTCCAGTGATTCATTGCCATGCAGAGGAAGTAGGGCTTTGTGTCGCATGAGACTATCATCACTATTGCGGGCTTCCAAGGAGTTTCTGTGCTTTGCATTTTTATTGGCTACAGCATTTTTCTGGTGCTCCTCAAAGCTTAATGACAAGGTGACAGTTCCACCCCCAAAACTCACCTTCTGCTTGCACCCATGTTTTTGCTGTGGTTCTGCAGATGTTGGCATTGAAAAGGGCTTTTCATGGTTGCTTTTGCTGCTAATGGATGAGGATGGGGTAGAGCCTGAGGAGCCCCCCAGACTATTAGACCTCTTGCGGGACACATTGCTGCGTCGCAGTGTAGCTCTGGCTGCCACTTTGAAAGCATGAGCAGCCGTGCTACAGCGTACTTCCTCAATGGTGTTGCGGGATGGCTTGAAGAGGATAATGTATACCTTGTTGAAGAAGATGCATGCTAAAAGCCCAAAGCTGGCTGCCAGAATGGCAATCACCTCCACTGCTGAGACAAATTTGCCATAGGTGCTGGCATAGGCTGGTATAAAAGAGATCCAAACAATGAAAAAAATCAACATACTGAAGGTGATAAATTTGGCTTCGTTGAAGTTCTCTGGCAGTTTGCGGGATTTGAAAGCAAAGAAGAAGCAGATAGCGGCCAGCAGACAAGTGTAACCAATTAGGAAGCCCAGTGCCATCAAGGAGCCCTCATTACAAGTGATAAAGATGATTTCATCCTCCATTTCATGATTACGGAAGCTAGAAGGGGGAGCTGTATAAAGCCAGATGACGCAGATGACAATTTGCACAAATGTGCATAAGAAGACCAAGAGGAACTGAAGGTTAAGTCCCCACCACTTGCGATGGAGGCTTGTTGGTATCTTAGCCTCAAAAACCAAAAGGACACGATTGGTCTTCACCAGAATGCAGGAGATGCAGAGCACAAAGCTGATACCAAAGGCTGGTTGTCGTAAGCGGCAATTCCAATCTTGAGGCTCACCAATGAAGAAAAGGGAGCTAGAAAAGCAACAGAGCAAGGAAAACAGGAGGAGATAAGAGAGCTCACGGTTTGTGGCCTTGACAATGGGCGTGTTGCGAAATCTGGTAAAGACTCCCAAGACGAATGAGGTTAAGAAGACGCCTAGTACAGCAAAAAGAGTGAGAGCAATTCCAAATGGTTCTGTCCAGGACAAAAATTCTATTTGTTTGGGAATGCAGAAGGTATGGTTTTCATTGGACCAGAAGTTTTCAGCACATTTCTCACAAGCACTGGCATCTGGAAAAGACAAAACATCCTTGCTTAAAAGAAGATATCTGAACAGGAATTGCACTTAGTGGCATCTCTGTCAAGAGGCCCAAAGACCATCTACATGCAATACTGCCAAAATACCATGGCTCTATTCTTGCTCAGACTTTTTATTTTCCATGGCTTTTGTAGAAGAGAAACTCCTAGGAGGTGGTACAAAAAAACTATAGTTTGTTTGTACAATCTTTAATCCTTAGTTTGGTTCATTTACAAAGAAAGGAAAGAAAGTATGTTCCATCCTCCTTCAGAAAAAAGAAAAGTAGGACGGAAGTTTCCTAAGGGATTGTGTTTTGGCAGAAGAAGTGGGAGGAAAAGAGTCAGTTGTGGCTTATGTCTCCTTCAGTTTAATTGAGTTCATTAGCTTTCCTCCTTGACTCAGAGATTACCTCATGATTTTTTAATATACAGTACAGCCCCCAGGAATTGTATATGGAATTACGTTCAGAATACAGAGCCAACTCTTAAACCCAAAGACCAGTTAATCATTTTTAGCACATTTCTGTTTTGTTGCTTTTCTCCCAAACCTACCCTGTTCCAATTGCATTCTCTTCTGGGACAAAATCCACTGCTAATCCGTAAATATGCTAACTGGATGGAGTGATGGAAGTGGTTAGTAATTCATTAACACATTGTAACTGTGTGTCGTTATCAATGGTGACTTTCAAAAATGAATTCTGAGGCCATTTGCATAAATGTTTCTAATAGAGGAGGGATCTGCTTTTTTTCTCAGAATCAGATCATACCTGTTTCATCACTGATCTCTCCATCTGTGCATTCAACACATTCAAAGCAGCAGGTGGGCTCCCCCTCAATGATACCTTTCCTTGTACCTGGAAGGCAGTCTCTGCTGCAGTTTGAGAATGGTACCTTAAGAAATAAAGATAGGTTTTATTAATATCTAGGTTGATTCTCCTGTTTGGTGGTGAAGCAATACCCTTCCAACCCTTTGTCCATCAAGCATGTGTTAATGGAGACAATCTGGATGAAGATCCACTGTCAAGATCTCCCTAGAGCTAGTTGTCAAAACAAGGCCAATGGTGGTCTTTTCTTCTCTTCTACATACAAGAAAAGGAAACAGGTGAGAAGCAAAACTGCTATTCTTTGCTGAATCTCTCAGTGATTGAGATGCTACAATGCAGACCAGGAGAGGTAGTCAACCTGAGTATACTGAGTATTGTGAGTAGATAAATGGGTACCACTTTGGTGGGGAAAATCTAGCTGCATTCATGTGTACAGAAAGCAGGAAGCTGGTACTGGATATGGCTGGATGTGAGGCATTGCGACACAAGATGAGGCAAGGTGACACAGGTGGAGGAGTCTGGAAAAGCCAGCAACCCGAGTGCCACTAATTATCTGGTGAAAAACTAGTTCACTTCCCATGGTGCACCAAGAAAAGGTGCATAACCACTGATCAGAATGAACTAGTATTCTACACTATCAGGACTGCATTGTTTGTCTAGCATGTGTAGATTTCCCTGACATTATATGCCACACACTACATAAAATAAAATCAACCTGAGAAAAAAGGCAGGTGGGCATTATGTCTTGCTCACTTGGGCAAGTTAGTGAATAGCTGCCATAGCACCAAAAAACAGGTGGAGTCACTGCTTTCACTTGCCCACTTCTTTTGGACCATAGATGTGAGAAGGAATTATGCTGGCACTGGATAGCACATCAGAACGGGCTCAGTTTCCTTCCCACTGAGGAGATGCACATTCTTCTCAGAAGTGGAAATCAGAGCCAGGGATCTCCTGGTCACTGCTTAAACAGTGGAATAGTCTCCCCCCAATATTCTAGCATGTACTATAAGAAGTAGGGAACAAGGTGGTGCGTATACTGTACCTAGTTCTCCACCATGTGACAAGCATCACCATCTGATAAATGTATGAACCATGCTTTTGACATGACATGTTCTTTCTACAAATGTGAATTTAGCCTAAGGGTGTATGAGCTCACTGTCAATGTTTAACACTGTCAACTAATTATTGCTGGCTGGGAATGAAAAAGGGCAACATAGAAAGGGCATCTAGTTGAGGAAGCTATGAACTCTACGGTAATATGAACTCTATGGTAATCCTATAATCCCAGGTTTGCAAGCAAGATCAGATCTGGAACTGTCCAAACAGCCACAAGATGGAGCCAAAAGGAAGATCTGCTGACTTTTGAATTGGATTTTTTAAGGTCAACCGTTATGAATGAGCAACACTATAAAAAAAGCTTTTCTTTAAGATACAATTGGTAGAAAAAAGAACAAAGAGACAAACAAAGGACACTTAAAGGACAGTAAAATACTTCTCCATTTAAATTTTGTGCTAAATATTAGTTTTGACATCAGCAAGCTGAAAATGGATGTTGTACTAAAGCCCACAGAAAAGCAAAATGATGACAGCTATTCGACCACCCAAGGGGTGGGGGCGGGGTGTGTGTGAGATCAGTGCAATTTGAAGGGCCCAGAGCAATGTGAAGGACTTCAGACTGCAAAAATCAGGCACCTTGAGAAGAGTACAACTGAGGTGATCATGAATGGCACCATGTGAACTGAATAAGCAGTTTTGAATTATAGAAACATTTAAATCAGCCATTTTTGTTTTCATGAGATTATATTTAAGAAGCAAATACCCAAGAAATTCCACAGAAGCAAAAAAAAAAAAAAAAAAATTCACAATGCAAAGAAGAATTGAACCTTTTTTTTCAAAATGAGGCCAGGCTTCATTTGCACTGGAATACAGCATCAGAGTTGCTGTGGAGAATAGCTGTTGCACCTGCTGTTATTTTTCCACCATAAAACAGTATTACTTGACAACAGGTATCAAACAAAAACATTTTAATGTTTTATATATACATACACACACACACACACACACATTAAAATGTTTTTGTTTGATACCTGTTGTATCAAATACATATATACACACACACAGACACACACACAGATCTAGCTTGATCTCAAGGGGAAAGGGGAAAAGGGAAAGGGAAGATACTGTGGATCCCCTTGGACAATCTGAGAAATATCAGTTAAAATGTTGGGTGAGACTTACCTCTTTGGAAAATCCACTCCATAGGATCTTATTTTCATTGATAAATAACCTTTCTCCTTTTTTGGCATAAACATTATAGTGTCCAACTTCCTCAAATACAATGGAGCCATCTTCAGGGGACAGATGCCAATTGATAATTGAATAATTTCCTATTAGGCCTCCTGACTCATCAAAATCCACTTGCTCCCCCATATTATTAGTGAAGTTCAAGTGTCGCAGATGTTTCAGTACCTAAAAAACAGAGAACCAGAGATGCTGAAAGTGATCACTGCTGTGAATGAGGCATCGTTGGAAGAGGGCTGCCTCACTGGCACCCTAAATAAAAACAATAAGCTTCCTGAAATAAGGAGAAAATAGAATTAATGCAGATTTTTGCTTATAAAATACTCCTGTCTGGTTCCTATAATTTTAATCATTTTTTGGAAATTTGCATGACAACACCACTGCTTATTTATTAATTACTAGCCCAAGCCAATACAGAATAGATTCAAATGAGGATGTCCCAAAGGTGCTTTTTTCAAGAGGCAACTGGACTTTCTGGTTTTTCTTTGAAGACGTTTCACTTCTCATCCAAGAAGCTTCTTCTTCAACAGAGCAACATAATGATACATAGGAGAGCACAATAAAATATGGGAAATTTACTATATTGCTGGTTTTGACAGAGACGGCAAAGGTAATACTGAGGGACTATTATTCTTCTCCAGAGCCACAGATGATATAGCATTTTATCTAACTAACTAACCAACCAACCAATGTTTTCTTAAAAGGAACAGAGATTATCTTTTCAAAGTTCTTCCATATAAACCAATGTTAAAGAAATGGGGAAATAAGCTTTGATCCTTTTATAACTCAGTATCCAAAATACACTGTTTAATCTCTGTGTTTGTTTCTCATGTGCTTTTTGGAAGAAGAAATTGGCTACAAGGTTACAGTAAAGTGCCTTCTCTTCAGCAAAGAAGTAAACCTATTAGCAAAAATTAAGGTGGCTGAAGTTCCCTAAGTTACTTTTATACAATACTTCAGTTGGCATTTTCTCACATGAGCCTCAACAGAGCAAAGACCACATTTCAAAAGCAAAAGGGCATACGATATACATCGGGATATATAGAACTGCTGTAATATGTTTAGTTTTTATTACTTCTAAAAATTTTTCTTCCCTAAATATACAAAACTGTGAGCCATAGAACAGAAAGCTCAGCATTTTGGCTTTCAATAATTTAATGGTTGCATGTATAAAATTATTGTCCCTGCAACTGACAATTCAGTTTATTGCATTAATAGCTTTAGAAGCTTCAGCATTGGTATTTGTTTCTTTGATGTTGATTATTGGAAGATGACTCAAAGACATTTAGAATCTTTAACCCGCTCAATGCAGGTATTTTTTATCCTCTAATTATGATTTCAATTAGTGTACTTCTTGGTAAATAGAATACTTAAATTTGGGATAATATCTATTTTTTTATTGCTGCAATAAACTCCTAGGTTTGCAGACAATGCCTCCAGGCTTAAGCCATCCTGTGTCAAAAGATAAAATAACTGCATAGTCAGCATGTAACAGGATGGATATAGGTTTCTTTGCCAACAATAGAGAGGGTAAAGCTTGTTTTTTAAAAAAGCTTGAGTAATGGAATTAATTCAGAAAAAAGCAGAACAAGAATGTAATCTTGTTTAACTTTTGAGTTGATCAGACAAGCCTATGGTGGTGGAACACTAACCTGCATGAAGGTATTTTCATGTAACATAATAATTAAAGTAAAAAAGTGATTTATGGTCCAGAATGCTAATTTTGCTCATAGCCTTTCCTTAGGTAAAATACTATCATTAAGTCAATAAAAGAGTCATATAGAGTATCCCGAGACTGGTCAGAAGGAATGAACAAATTTGCCTAATTTATATCATTGTCATATGGCTACCCTCAATAGCTTAGAATAACACCTATTTTGAATATGTCACATTGGATGCTGATTGATTTCTTGTCCAATTCAAGGATTTGTTCACCACATTTAAAGCTCTTTATAGTGTAAAATTGGAGTATATCATCCAACACCAAGTCAGAATTGAGGTACTTATGGCCCCAACCTTGCTGGCATTTATAAAAAAGCTATATAGACCTATTCCATCATTCACTCATATTATTACTTTTATTGGCATTTACAATGTTTAGATTTTGGTTTATTTATTATAATGTCATTGTAGAGTTGTTATTGTTTATGTTGTTGTACCATACTCAGATTCTGCTAGGATTTAGATAAGATATAAATAATCTATATAAATAAAAATGTAAATGTCCGTTTGTACATAACCACACATCTCCGAAAGTTCTTCACCGATTGCTTTCAAATTTTGACACAATGTTGCATTCGACTACGGGCGTGTTTTTATATACTTATATTATATACATGTCACACCTGTGACAGGTAAAAACATGAAAAACATTGGAAAACATTGAAAGACATTGACAAACCTTGAAAACCTTGAAAAACAGCGCCATCTGCTGGATGTAAAACCAACATGGCAGCCTCCCAGCCCTGATTATGCTCAACAGATTTCTGCTCCTTATATTTATACTCTCCATATTGCTTCCAAGAAACTGAGCATTTGGAAGGCAGAGACGTCCGAGGGCCATATCCTGCCACCAGGCTCGGCAGGTAGGCAGCTGGCTGGGGCCTGCCTGAGCCTGGCTCTGCCCTCCCTCTCCCCCAGCCGGCCCGTGAACTAGCCTCGCCCGCCGCTGCTGCCCATCCCCCTCGCCAGCCGCCCTCGGGGCTCCCTCCAAAGAACACCTGGCAACGAGGCTGACTGGGTCCGCCGAGCGGGAACCCTCCATCCCTCACCTGGCCCAAATCGCATCTGGCCCAGTGCTACCACGGATCCCGAGGTCAGAAAGACCAGCCGCTAACCGGCATTATGCAAATCTGGTCAGTGAACGGGAGATGGAGGCAACTGGAGCCTTGGGGTCGCCTTTGACCAGCGCCGCCTTGGATTCCCAGGTGGGCACTCTGGCAGTTCACGGAGCCTACATGAAAATTTCGGCCTCTGGCAGAAAAGGGGCTCCGAGGAGGCTTCGGGGTGTGTGTGTGGAAACAGCCAGGAGGGAGAATGGCCGGTCCTCCTTTGTTTCGCCTGGAAGAGCGGGGAATTAATCATTCCCCTGCCCTTGGCAGGTGCGGGAGGAGAACTGCACAGCAGGGGTCCAGTGGGGTGTGCGTGGCTCCTGGCTGCCACTTTCTTCCTTCGGGCGGGAAGCCCCAAACCAGCCTCGAACACCTGCTGCACCCCCTCCCTCCCTCCCCTTCCCTTCCCTACTATGCGTCTCCCCGTCGAGCCCCCAGAGAACATCTGTGTAGGGAGGATGGAGGGGTCCCTTGAGTTTCTGCTGTGGTGCGGAGAGCTGCGAAGGCCTGGCCTGAAAAGGTAAGGGCAATGGCGGGGGATGCAGAAGAGGCTGGGCCAGAGACAGAGATAAACAGAGAGAGAGGGAGAGAGAGACATAAATACAGAGAGACGGGGGGGGAGACATATACAGAGATACAGAGAGAGAGGGTGGGAGAGAGAGAGACAGAGAGAGATACAGAGAGAGGAGGAGAGAGAGAGACATACAGATACAGAGAGAGGGGGAGAGAGAGACACATAGAGAGATACAGAGAGGGGGAGAGAGAGACATAGAGAGATACAGAGAGAGGGGAGAAAGAGAGAGACATAGAGATACAGAGAGATGGGGAGAGAGAGAGACATAGAGAGATACAAAGAGAAAGGGGGAGACAGAGAGGGAGGATTTTGTGGTTCCCATTGTTTTTTAGCAACCGGTTCTCTGCCCTAATCACCAGCTGGGTAGGCGTGGCTCGGGGGCTGTCATGTGACTGATGAAAGTGAGTGACGTCGAGTTGGCCACGCCCACCAAATGTTTGTGGAGAGTTTGGAACTTCAGCCTTGCTCTTTTAGCCCAGCGGAAGCACCAGACTGGGCCATAGCAATGCGTGGCCGGGTACAGCTAGTGTTAAATAAATGAACGGGTTAATAAGTAAATGGCTAATTGATCTGAAATTAACTTAATAGCTTACTTCCTTTCTTAAAAATTTGGACAGTTATTAATCAACATCACTCCACGGAATAGGAAAGGAGAGAGCCCACCAATCAGAAATCAAATCACCTACCCCTACACTTTGCCATTCTTCACTCATTTAGGTATCTTGGAAATAAGAAATAAGTGATCAACAGGTAGTTCAAATGAACTCAAGTGAGCAACTGTTTCATTAAATACAACCCAAAGTGCTCTGCCTAGACCTCAGGTATGAGATTTGCCTCCTTGCCCCAGAGGCACTCTTAGAAGATCAGTAAACCACAAGACACCAAAATTTAGAAGAGCTTTAATCTTTTACAGCTTGTACTAACTTCCACCAATTAGTCATTTGTACCTCCCTTTCTTTTCTTTTCAACAAAGACTTCAATTGTTTTTTCAAAGCCAATCCCCATGATCAAACTCCTTTATTATTTCTAAACTTCCTTCATTTAATTTGGTATTAGCTCCAACTCAAGCTTGGAAACCAAACCATGTCTCAGAGTTAAATTTGGATTTGGAATTTTGACCATTCATTTTAGAGATTAAAAAACTGGAGACAAACCCTCTCAAACTCATTAGACATTTTTAAAAAGTCTCCTATGCAAGGGAGTTTTACTGGGCAGTTATTTTGTGACCTGCAAATCAAAGCATTTACTGGGTAATTTTGCTGAAAGACGAACAGAGATTGGTCAATAGCAAGGTAAAAATCACTCTTCAGTTCTGTTTAACAGGCTTGAGAATACCAACATAGTATTACTAATTCTGGCATTTCTACCACTCTTAATTTAGAATAAAGCATTCAAATATGGTAGCCATTTGGATCAAGCTCCAAAGCTCATAATTAACTCTACCCTATTTCAAATAAAATAATGTGAAGAGAGTACATATTATTTTATCAGGGATAAAAGATTTCCTGGTTAAGCCCAATCCAGCACTAAATCATAAACAAGGATTATTTCAGCATTTGGCTGCTTTGGTAGCAAATTCAGGCGATTCCATCATTGTAGTGACATTTATTCAGAAAAAAACTGCCCAAGTGAAATTTGTATATACCCGTATTTTTTGGACTATAAGATGCACCGGTGTATACAAGATGCACCAAGATTTTGAAGAGGTAAGAAAGAGAAAAAAGATTTTGCCCTCCCTGGCCTTCAGGAGCATTCTGCAGGCC